TGAATGAATGAATGAATGAATGAATGAATGAATGAATGAATGAATGAAACCTATGTGAGAAACTACAAACCACCAACTCCACGTTGTAAGCTTGCAAAGGCTACGTGGCAGCTCCGCTCCCCAGCCCAGGGTCAGCGGGTCCCAGGCCAAGCCTGGGAGGAGATGGGTCACCCCCACCAGGGTGCGGGCGCGGCCCGGCGGAGTCTGCGTGCAAAGCATCTGGAGGGGCAACTCCAAGCGCGGGTGTGGAGGTGACGCCCCAAGTCTCGGCCTCCTCAGCTCTCTAGGGGAGCAGGGGGCCGGCCACCCAAAATCACGCCCCTGCCCCCTCCCTTCCCTGGGCGGCCGGAGCCAGCCCTGCGCTGGCCGATCGGTTGGATGGGGCTGCACCCCCGCGCCAAGCCGTCCCGGAGTCCTGGCCCCGCGCCGCCGCCGCCGCCGCCGCCTGCGCCCCCCTCACCTGCAGGCCTAACTCGGCTGGGAGCTTCTGCAGCCGCCACAAGGGCGTCCCCTCTTCCGGCTCCATCCCTAGGCGAAGCTGGAGCCTGGGTCACATGACAAGGTCCGGTGGCTCCTCTTGAGCGACGGTCCCCCACGTGATTCTCGAGTGGGGCGGGGACCCGGCGTGGAGCAGCTTGAAATCTTGTGCGCGTGCGCAGAAATACAGCCCTTGTAAGTAAGGAAGTTCCTTTCCAGCCTGGTGCAACATTACTTAAACACCCTTGTATTACTACTTTGAAGGCAGATTTGCAAATCTCTTTAACGTAGTTTGCAACTTTGTTCAGAGTTCTATTGAACTTTGTCTGCACTCTTTAGAAAGTCGTCTAATATGGGAGGTTTGACATGTCTCTTTACTGGAGTATCCTGATTTGGAAAGTGAATTAAGGGTTTACCGTGCGCGAGATTCTTTATTTAGGTTATCCAAAAAGATACTATTTTCATCCTCATTCCAAGTAATAGATAAGATCAGAGGAGTCGCTAGGGTTATCAGATTTAGTAAGTGAAAATACGGATTCTCTCTTAAACATGAAATTTCATATAAACGACGAATAATGTTTTGCATGAGACATACTTATACCAGGACTCTATTCGTTGCTTATCTAAAATTCAAATTAACTGGGTGCCCTGTTTTTTATCCGTCAACCCTAAAAGCCACCTGAGCTAAGTTAGAGGCACAGCCTGAAGTTAAAATCAGTCAGACTCCAGAGCCACACAACGCTGGACTAAACTCCAAACCCAAACAGCCTTTCTGAGATTTCTGTCTTTATTACAGCTACTCCTTTAATCAGATGCTGGAGAATTCAGCGGTGATAAGACAGTCCCTGCCATCCAGAAGAGCACATTAACTAGGAGACAGAAACAGGAATTACAATCTAATATAAACGTAATTTTTAAAAAGTGGTTTGAAATGACAAAGCATACCACAAAGGAGAAAGTAATTATTTTAGTCTGTGGGCTATGCAGAGAAGAATTTTTTCAGTAATGACGTACTTCAAGGTTTAGCTCAAATACCTTTCTCTACTCTGTGCCCCACCTCTTGTGGGTGAAAGCAATTTTCCCCTCCGAATTTTTATGGCTGTCCCTCACTTAAAATATTTATCACTCTCTAGTTCTTAATATAGGTAGGTATGTACAACTCTTGTTGTCCCAACTGAAACATAGTTGTCTTAAGACATATTGTTTTTGTGCATAGGGGCTTCTGATGTAATAGTTAATAAACAAGAAGGGACCTGAAAAACTCCTACCTAATTTATGTCCGTTAGTAAGTCTACTGAAGGCAAGGTCTGTTTCTAAGAAAAAAACGAAATTTTATATATTGTAATAGTTGAGATAAAAATATTTATCAAGCATCTACACTATGTCAAACAACTTATATATTTTATCTTATTAATCCTCACTACAACCTTGTGTGGTGGGTATTATCCCAACATTAAAGATGAAGAAACAAACTTGGTGAAGTAATATTGATCTTGTCCAAGGTCACATAGGTAGAAGTTGCAAAATCATTGGTCTGAGTCTGACTTGATGGTCTATGTACTTCGCTGGCCCTAACGAGGAAAGAAAGGCATTTTGCGGTGATATGACTTATCTAAGGCCCTACAACAGATTGCTAAACAAAGCAAATAGGCACAGCAAGAAGGGCACAAGGTTAGTCAGAGGACACAGATTTAGGTCCTGATTTTTCCTTCAGGCAACACTGGGTACTAAGAAGAATTTGGTCTTTCCTTTGGAATTTGGTTGTAACAAAATTTAACCTTTAACAAATATAGCTTCTAAAATAGTTCACAAAGTGAGAGAGGAAGGCAGCTTAATATTTGCCTTTTAATTAACAAGAGGGTCTTCTTAGATGTATAATCCAAGAGGTTTCCAAAACATTTCTGCTTCTTCTAGTCCCCATTTTTACTAGATGTGTTCTAGTCCCCATCTTCAGAATCTTATTTGTAGTGTGGTTAAAAATATAGACTCTAGAGCTAAATATAGATTGCTATCTATGTAACATTAGTGAGCTGTTTTACCTCTGTGTCTCTGGTTCCCCATTTCTAATTGGTTATAATGATAACACAGAATTTACATTCATTGTCATATATGTCAAGTTCATATATGTAAAGTTCTTAAAATAAGTCTGGCCTGGCACATAGAAGACATTATTAGATTCCCTTTTCTAAGTTGCCTTCTTTCCTATTTTATGGCCAAAGGTTAGTGGGTTCTAGAAAGGAGGGTGGTGGACAGTCTCTGCCTTGAGAATGTGATCTGCCTTTAAAACTCATCTAGGCTGCTATATAGTACTGTATAGGCAATGTAGGTTAGTGATCGCAATTGGGAGACATGTAAAAAAATCTCATAAACCTTACTGGGTGTACTTGCTGAGCTGAAACTGGAATTCAAGCTGGTTGTTTGTGGAACTGTTAATTTGGTGCTTCTGTCTCACGTTATTTGATTGGAATTTTTTTTTCATTTTGAGCTGGAAGGAAGAAGAAGGAGTTTTGTGCACCATGCCTTGGGAGAGCCATTTATTCACTCATTCTTTAAGTTATTGGTTAAACATCTACCATGCATTAGGTGAGACTGCTCAGAGAACATTAACTTACCTTCTAGTTGTGTATGCTTAGAAGCAGTCCTCAGATGATGAACACGTAAGCAATTAAGATAATGTCAGCTATTGAGAAGTATCTTGAAGAAAATGAAACAGGGTAATGTAACAGAGCGGGATGGTAGAAACATAGTTTGTAACCGATTGGTAAAGGAGTACCTTGCCAAGAAGTGGCATTTATACTAAGGGATATAGGATGAGATGGAGACAGGAAGGCAAACATCTGGGGAAAGAGAGTTGCTAGGAGAACATAGAGGCCCTGAAGTAGGAGAAAACCTGCCTTATTCAAGATAATAGCCAAAAACCTGTGTGGCTGAACTGTAGTGAGCAAGGCAAGAGAGACAGAGATGATGTCAGAAACCTAGGCTGGGTTTTTAATCAGCGAATTGATGTGAACTAGTTTGCATTTTTAAACGATTATAGAAAACAGATTTACTTTGGGAAACCAGATCTCAGGGGCAAGAGTGAAAGTGAGAGAACCAGTTTGGAGGATGTTCCAGGCTAATGCTCACTAATATAAGCATTAAACTTAATATGGCCTAATTTACATGCCCAGACTATAGAGTTCTAGGGGCTTAGATGATGGGTGGTGGCAGTGGGAACCAGATACAAAGGGAAAGGCTCAAAATATATTTTGGAGTTAACATCTATAGAACATGGTAGGTTGGATGTTTTTATAAGAGAAAGAGATGTAGAAGTAAAATCCAGACTACAGGAGAAGGTAAAGCATGTGTTGTCTGAGCCAGCTTGAGGTTTTAGGTCCTGACTGAGGGATTGAGCTGTAAACTATAGCCGCCTGGTTAGTGAGAATTTCTGAGGAACGGTGCAGTGTAGTGGTTAAGAGTACAGGCTCTGAGTCCGACAGACCTGGGTTCTAATTATATCTCTCCACTTACCAGCCACATGACCTTGGGTAAATTCTCTGTACCTCCACTTTTTCTGTTGAAGGTGGGGACAAAACTACCACCCACCTATTCAAGTTGTGAGGTTCAAATGGAATAATGCATACAGTGTGTTTAGCATTGCAGCTAAAGTATGGTTTTCCCATAGTAAAGGTTAGCTCTTATTTTTAGCCAGTAGCAGTATTACTTGGGATACAAGTAGTATGGCGCTCTGGGAACAAGGTGAGACACATTCACACACACACACACACACACACACACACACACACCCAATGGGTCTGGTGAGGAATAATTTTAGGAAGTGTAACAAAAAATTCAAATGTTTTCATAAATTCTTTTGTTAAGTAGGGTAAGTCATTATTTTTAACTACATAAAGAGGGANCACACACACACACACACACACACACACACACACACACACACCCTATGCGAATGGGTCTGGTGAGGTGCCTGGATAAGGAAGCTAAAGAGAGAAATGGAGCTGATTCATCCGTATGAACTCCCATAAATGACTGGACAGGAAGAGAGGCATTGTGCCAATAATTCAAGCACAAGCTGAGAGACTTCATAATTTGGGCATTGTGGCAGAGACTGCCATTTGTCCCCTGATATCTGTGCTCCCTGTTATAAGTTAAATTGTGCACCCCCCTCCCCCAAATTTGTATGTTGAAGTCCTAAGCCCCAGTATCTCAGAATGCAACCTTATTTGGAGATAGGGTCTTCACAGAGGTAATTATGTTAAAGTGAAGTTATTAGAGTGTGCCATGATCCAGTATGACTTGTGATGTAATGAAAAGGGGAAATTTAGACACAGATACACACAGAGGGAAGGCGGTGTAAAGAGACATAAGGAGATGGTTTGGCTCTCCAAGCCAAGGGGAGAAGCCTGGAACGGATACTTCTGTCACAGTCCTCATAAAGAACCAACCCTGCCAACATCTTGATTTTTGCTTTCAAACTGGCCAAGTCTTACCTGAACTCATCCTCTTCCAAGATCTTGCTATGTACAACCAATAACAACCATCATACACTGATAATAATCTGTTTTCCAATCTCGTTGCCTAGAACTACAACCTCAGCATGGTTTCTGCCTTTAAATTAACCAAGGCACTGCATAACATGAATCCTAGCTTTCAGCCTGCTGCCAACCACTAAACTAACTCCATATTTTAGATTATGTTTCATCAGCCTCTGACTCCTCATACCAATTTCTGTATTGGTCAGAGTAGGTTAACCTTTAACAATAGATCTAAAATACGTTTCCTTCAAATTGTGATGAACTAATCATCCTTTTTCATTCCAGGGATATTTTTGGGTAAAGAAAGAGCGGAGCATCCTTTAATCTCAACTATGAAGAAAAAACTTTGATTCTTTGACTCTCTTTTTTATCAGATGCCATATCCTTATAATTGCTTCATCTAGAGTCTTGACCAAGATTTAGGAAACACTTCTGTTTCACAGGGTTACGCTGGGAATTTTTATTCTGTGTTATTGTGGGTTGAGTCTTACTAGTAAATTTCAAATAATTTTTCTTTGTCCATAAATTCTGGGCTTCTCTCCTTTCACCCATGAACTGATATCAGTGGCTTCAGTAATTGC